CCCCCCCCCCCCCCCCCCGCCAAGTTCTGTCCCATTAATCCTTCCCTTGCTGTCCCCATCTCCCCCAGCTGATGAACAGGCTGGGATGTGGGGACACTGGTGTCACCCAAGCAGAACACGACAGGACACTGTACTGAGCTGGGACCCCCCCATCCCGCAGCACATGGGACAAGGGACAGGGAGGAGGCGAGAGGAGGGACCAGAGCCAAGTGGGGAGCAGAAGAGCCATGTCCTTACTTCAGTGTGACTGGGCAGCTTCACCCTGCTCTGGAAGAGAACAGCAAGGGACAGTTACTGGTGGCCCCAGCAGTGGCCAGCCGCGGGTCCGGGCCCCCCATATCCCCCGTCCGTGCGGGCTCTGGCCCTGTAGTCTCCTCTGGCTGCGCCCAGTTCTCCGCTGGTGCCACTGGTTCGGCACCAGTTCACACCTGCAAAGGCTCAGCCCCGTGCGCTTGCTGGTGAACCTGTGATGAGTGTGCCAGGTCTCTTCCTGAGTGGGGGCAGGCTTGCTCCCCACCTTGTTTGGGGCTGAAGAAATAGCAGCAGGTGGAGGAAAGCAGCTCACCCAGCACGCTCAGCAAACTGGGGCAGGACCCCTTGTCCCCTGCGAGAGGAGAGAGGAGCTGGCGGGGGGGAAGCCACAGGCATTGCCCAGACGGATGCCGGCATGGCTCTTCCCGAGAGCCGGGTTTTGGGAGCAGGCAGCCTGGAGGGCTGTGCTGGGCCCCCAGCCTGGTGGTGGGAAGCACCCAGACGGAGGGAGAGCCCGTGTGCCTGGAGAAAGCCCTTCTGGCAAGTTTTGGGGCTCAGCGAGCTTTGCTTAGGCCCCCCAAGCATCAGGGGAAAGCAAGAGGTCCAGGGGATCTTAGCAGCACCATGGCCCCCAGTGTGCCCTGCACACCCCCAGCATGGCCCAGCATCCTGGGGGTCACCTCTTCCTGAGCCCCCAGCAGTGGGACAGGTTTGTGCCCAGGATCTCCTGTGCTTGGACACCCCATCCCCACACTGTCCCAGCCAGGCACGTGGAGGGGTGCTGAGCACCGTGGGGCAGCATCCCCCATGCCTGCCCAGGGATGGGTAACACCCCACATACCCACCCACAGGGGCTAAAAACAACACGACACCCTCTCCCTACCCTGGACGACACAGAAACAGGTCACTGCCCCCATCCTGCACATCCCGGACAACACGGCACACCTCAACATGACAACACGCCACGCAGGCAACGGCACATCCAGACAGCACGACAGAGGAAGCACGGACAAGCCTGGACCTCCACAGCAGGCGGGTGTGGGGCCACAAGCGTGGCCACGGGGCAACAACACACATGGAGCCCACGGCTATTTACCTTCTCTGTCCCCTTGCCATGTTTTCTCAAGAGCGTGCCCTGTAGAAGCAATGTCAGAGGTTGAGTGGTGGGGCCGGGGGACAGCATGGGATGGGACATGGGGGGTGCAGGGCAAGGCTGGGCACACGGCGTGGCCGCAAGCTGGCGGCGAAGACATCACTGAGCTCCTAAAGGACAGTCAGGGCCAATGGGGGACTGGTCCCTGTTGGGGTGCTGGGCCCATGGGGGACTGGTCCCCAGTGGGATACTGGGTTAAGTGGGGGACTGGTCCCCAGAGAGATGCGGGGTCAGTGAGGGACTGGTGTCTTTGGGATGCTGGGCCAACTGGTCCCCACTGGAATGCAGGATGTTGCACTGATGGGGAACTGGTCCCCACACTGGGATGCTGGGCTTATGGGGAGCTGGTCCCTGCTGGGATACAGGGATGCTGAGCCCATGGGGGACTAGTCCCCGCTGGGATACAGGGAGGCAGGAGCCAGCTGGCGCTGTGTGTGGGCAGCCTCTGGTGTCCCCACATTCCCCTCCAGCTCTGGCAGATGCACACAGCGCTGGGAAGGGGGGGGCAGGGGGCAGCTCTACTTGGGTTTTGCACGCAGAGTTCTGGTCCATGCAGTGCTGGGCCCAGTTGGGGCATGGGGCATGTCTGAATCAGGATAGCAGGGCGGCGCTGGGGCATGTCTGAATCAGGAGGGGGTATAGCAGGGCGAGGGGTCAGCTGGCAGGGAAGCCTGCAGGAGGGACAAGCAGCACAGTTAGAGCCAAGCAGGGCTGCCAGGAGGGTTTCTTGCCCTGGAGGGAAACAGGCACAGGGTGATGGGTGAACAAGAGGACCTTGTACCCCATACAGCTGACACCGCCCCAGTCCCCTGGCAGCCTCAGCGAGGCTGGGACATGGGGTCCCCATGAGGTCTGAGGGGAGGCTCAGCCCCAGGCTGCCCCCAGGGTCTCTCCAAATGCTGCTGTTGGAAACAAGAGGTGTCGGGGCACATGGGATGGGCGTTTGTCCCTGCAGGGATTGGCACCCAGCACCCAACTGCCAGCGCCCGCACCACTGCTCCTCCTTGCAGTCAAAGCAGGGGTGGGGGCAGGATTGGGGGTGGACGTGGCCCTTCCCTTGCCCTGCGGGGCATAAGCCCACGGCCACAGACTGAGCAGAAGAGGACAAAAGGAAAATGCTCAGTCAAAACCGTGCAAGGACCCAGCAACAACGCCGAGAAGGGAACCCAGGAGTCCAGGCTCCCAGGGCCATATCCCAACCAGGGAAAAAGTCTCACAACTCATGCCAGCAACCTGCCCCACCGCTGAGCAACCGAGCCAGGGACCATCATGTCCCAGCGAGATGCTCCTCTCTACAGGCAGGGAGTCTCTGCCCTCAGCCCCCACCATAGCCACACCGCAGCCAGGGCCTCAAGGGGAAATTGAGGCACAAGGGTTCAGGAAGAGCAGCCCTGACTGCCAGGCATGCACCGCTCCCCCTGCTCGTGTCTCCAGTGGCCTGTCTCACCCTCAGCATGGAGCAAGAAGATGGGATCAGCCTGGGTTTGGCTGTCCCTAATTACATGGCACTGCCCCATCACTGTCCCCTCCCACCCCATCACTAACCCTCCCCGCATCCAGGCACCACGAATCTGTCCAGGACCTTTCCACCCCCCAAACCCAGCTGGGGCCGCGGGCAAGTGCCCACCAGGAGCCAGTGCCAAGCGGGCAGCACAAGGATGGGGACCACAGAGGTGGACCAAGTTGGGAGTCGGAGGAGGGCATGGGCAGGGCACGGGCAGCCACATAAGACAAAAACCGGCGAGGCCAGGACCGACACACAGCGGACAGACAGACAGACAGACAGTATGAGCTGCCGTACTTACAATCATCTGCCATTGAAAGGCGAGCGGAGCAATTGGAGAGAACAACCGTGACATGAGTGTCGGCCCCCTCCTCCATCCTCCCCAGACCCAGCTGCCCCACGGCTGGGTACCAGCCCCGGCCATGCCCCCACCCCAGCCGGCCAGGAGGGACAGCAGAGCCAGGGGTGTCCCCCATCTGACATGCCACAGCACTCGGCATCGATGCCCTGCCACCAGCACCGCAGGTCTCCACAGCCCCAAAGAGGCCCCATCCCATCCTGCCCAGTCCTTCCTCACTGTGCCAGGGGGCTCAGCTCCAGGGAGCTGGCGGACCCCACTTGACATTCGGCTCTGACACGTAGCCCCATGCTGCCAACTTGCCCAGCCACCCCCAGGCTAGAGCCCAGAGCCACCCTGGGTGGTATGTCCCCTGCCATAAGGACCAGCCCCAGCATGGCCCCCTCCAAGGACTGCCTCCCCTCAGGAAAATCGCCCAACAGATCCACATGTCCATGCCACCTCCTCTGCCCTCAGCACAGGGCTCGCTGCCTCCAGAACATGGCATAGCCACACACGGCCGGGAAGGGACAGAGATAGGGACTGGGATGGCGACTGGAACCCAGTGGCACCAGCATTCCTGCTAGATTTGGCCACCTTTGGCCAAGGGTGCGCGAACCTGGCCAGGAGCGATACAGGGCTGACCTGAGCCGGGCTCTGGGCTGTGACAAGTGGTGCCAGTGAGGTGGCACCACTGAGGGCTGACAGGTCACCAATGTGCTGTCCCTTACAGACACAGCACGAGGAGCCCCACAGCCCCAGAAAGGTGACACAGCAGGCAGTGGCTCCAGGGACTCCAAGTAAGAGCCTGAGCCCGGCTTTGTGACAGTGACAAAAGCCACCGAGAGTGACAGGGACAGATGTGTAGCTGGCTCAGAGCCCTTGGTGTCACCCTTCCCTGCCTGACCCCAAGGGAATAGCCACCCTGGGAAGCTTCGGGGTGCACGGCTACATGCGAGGAGGACAGACACACAGCGATACGATACAGAGCCTCGAAGCCTGTAGGCAACCTCCCTCTGAGGAGGGACCATTCCCTGGGCTTTGCTCTGCTCCCCTAGAGCCTGTTCAGCCCATGAGCAAGGAAGAGTTCAGCCCTGCTGTGGTGACATGCCCCCCCCATCCCCACATCACCCCCATCCCCAAGCAACCCCAGCCCCACAGCAAGGCCGACAAGGCAGTGGCTCCCCGCACTCCGAGAGCCTCCTGATTCACCTCCTGGCACAGGGACTGAGCCCACAGCCGATGCTGGTGAGCATGGCATGGGATGCTGCCCCAGCTCAGAGGGAAGGATGGAGAGGAAAGGACCAGTGCCCCCTCCTGGTGCCATGTGGGAGATGGCAGGAAGGTCCTTTGGCAAAGCCATCCAAGAGGGTGCTGGGCTGCATCGGGCACCTGGGTCAAGGATGACCTTTCTCTCCTCCATCCCTTCCCTGGCCATGAGCTGGGGGCAGGTTTGGGGACGCCGCCAAAGTCCCCACCCCCTCAGCTGCCAGTGAGGGCACCTGGCCAGCAGTGTCCCACACTGGCCCCAATCAGCCACCTGCATCTCAGCTCCAGGGTCCCCCGTCCCTGGTCCCGCTCCCCGTCACTCACCGTCTGGTCAGTGAGCGGAGGCAGGACGATGGTCTTCTCCATCGTGTTCATCACCAGCTTCCAGAGCTCCTTCAGCACCCGCTTCAGCACTGTCTTCTCACAGATCTTGGCAAAGAGTGTCAGGCTGCAGAGAGGGGACGGGGCTAAAGTTCCCGGCACGGCACCCCGTTGCCACCCCTTGCCCAGTCACCCTGACCCTGCAGGTCTTCCGCACTCCCGGGGTGGGTCAGGGGCATTAGGAAGGGTGGGGGTCCCTGTTGCCCCCCACACTCACTTGCTGTCCAGGAGGTCCATGATGGGCTGCAGGACGTTGTCAGCATCCTGTGCAACGCTGCTGCAGGTGCTGGCAGGGACGTTGCCAGTGCCCTTCACCTGGCCCAGGATGTCACCCATCTGCTTCACGCAGTCCTCGATGTGTGGCTGGAAACTGGGGACCACAATGCCCAGGCAGCTCAGCATCCCCCACAGCCATGCCCAGGACCCGCTTGGCCAAGCAGAGCCCCCAGCCTGGCCTCAGCCACAGCTCCTGGACCCCCAAACCTCTCCTTGGCCCACCACCCGCGCCCTCTCGCCTGGGTGTACCTGGTGGCAAAGACTCGGCTCAGCTCATCCAGGACGTTGTTAAGTTTCACCTGCAGTTCCTTGAGGATATCACTGGCTTCTGTGTCCAGCTGAAGGAGGGACAGGTTGGAGAAGCCATCAGGGTCCCTGGCCCAGCCCTGGGGGGGGTCTCTGCACCCCAAATGCACCCCTGGGCAGGGTGAAGCCCATCTGTCGTCTGACATCATAGGAGAGCAGCGTGCCATGGGGTGGGACAGCGTGATCCCATACAGGAGTGAGGAACTGGGGTCTGCTCCCACCACTGCGGAGCCGGGGAAGGGGCTGCCTCTGGGGAGAAGGGACTTATCCAGCCCCTCCACAGGGCTCCCTCCTGGAGACCCCCAATACGCACCTCCTTCCCACCCATGGCTTCAAACATCTTCTCGAGCTGGACGCGGAGCTGCTGGATGTTGTTCATCAGGATGCAGGGCTGGAGGGGTGGGATGGAGAGGGGGGTCAGCACCAACAAATGTGGCTGGAACAGCTGCCCACCGCCCCAGGTCCCTCCCACCCTGCACTGGGGGACACAAGAACAGTCATGGCACAGAGCCCTGCCTGGCAGCATTTCAGGGACTGCCGTCGGACAGAGACCAAGGGCAGGACCTGCATCACGGGGACCAGCTCTGGAGCTGAGGTGATGGCTGGGGTCACTGTGTGGGGACAGTCCTGCCTGGCAGCACCAGGCAGGTGGCAAGCAGAAGGGAGATACATCACCACTTTCTCCTTCTCCTTGGAGCAGTACGAGGCAAAATCCTTGGAGATGATCTCGGCATACTGGAGTAGCACATTGCTGATGGTCTGTAGCCAAACGAGGGATGGGACCCACCCAGACAGCAGCAAAGAGGAGGAAGGAGAGAGAGAAGGAGACCATGAGTCCCACAGCAGTGAAACAACCCAATGCCTGGGTACGCCCTGGGACCCCTAGATCCTCTGGTCCCACAGATGCACCAGGAGCTGCATGGGCACAGCCACTGGAAGCCAGATCCAGATCATCTGGTCTCCATGGGCAGCTCCATCACCAGCATAGTTGTGAAAGCACCAGCCGTCAAGCCTGCATGCAACTCCCTCCCACACTGCAGCAAGCCAGTGGCATTTAATTAATCTAGATTAATTAACCAGTTAAGTCATTAATTAGCTAATCTCCCATGCTAGCAAAGCTGGGAGAGCCACAGGGTCTGTTCATGGCACGTTTGCTTGAGCATCGCTGTTAGAGGTCGTGCAATCTGTGCCCTATGCCACTGCCTGCAGCTAGATAGGAGGCAGCAGAGAGAGCCCAGGAGCTCCGGGCCAGGGCTGGGACCGGGGTCCCAGGGGTGCTGCTGTCCTAGTGGTTCCCATCCCGGCAGCTGCCCACCTTGGCAAACCTTCGCATGTAGTGCCCAACAATCTGGGGATCAGGGCACTCAAGTTTCTTGATGATCTCGAAGCTCTGGTTGAGCTGGGAGAAGACGTCCACCACGGAGCAAGAGAAGAGTGCGTGCTCCGACGTCTGCTGGAACTGGGGGAGCGAGAGGCAGTGTCAGCAGGAGGCAGGGAGGGGAGATTTTGGCCCCGATGGGGACACACTGGGCATTGAGGGACAAGCCCCTTGTCCACCCCCAGCTGCGGCTCCTGTGCCCACTGACAGTCCTGTTCATACCCCATCCTTCTTGTCCCGCTCCAGCGCTCCATGCAGGAAATCCCGTGACACCTCTTCATTCTCATCCAGCCACTGGATAACGAAGGGCTCGAACCAGCTGGAAGAGAGGCCCGTCCCTGGTGAGGCCAGCCAGCGCACAGGGTGCAAGCACCCCCTCTCCTGCCCCCCGAGGGCTGCACTCACGCGGGGTATTCGGGCACGCGGCTCTTGAAGGAGGGCAGCTCGGTGACGTACTCGTTGTACAGCCACTTCACCTTGAAGTGCAGGTTCATGTAGTCCGCGCTTTTGCACAGGCGGTGCTTGTCGTGCTCTGCACGGGGAAGGTGAGTGCGCGCAGGGGTTGCTTTGAGCCCCAAACCTGGGGAGTAGCTGCCCCAAGGGCAGCTCCGGGGATGCCAGGGTAATGGGGTGAAGATGGAAGTGCTTCTTGGGTGGGATTTAAGCTAGGCATTGTGTTGATGAGGGGGTGAAATGGGTTTGCCCAGGGAACAGGTGAGGTGGGAGCGGAGTGCAGCTCCTGCCTGGTTCCCCCACCCGGCTCGGAGCGGCGTGGGGGGACTCACCCTCCATCGCATACTTCATGTCCTGAGCAAAGAGGTTCCACATCACCTCGGCGCTGATCTTCCCCACATTCAGTTCCTGGGGGAACCTGGGGTGGGGGGAAAGCGTGGACACAGGGTGGACCAGCCCTCCACTTGGAGATACGTCCCCCCCACACCTCCCGTCTGCCTCAGTTTCCCCATCTGTAGAATGGATGTTACAACCCACTTCCAAAGGACTAAAGCTACCATTGCTGCCGTGTGGGCATCCCCCCGGGTGCAAAGCAGGGTCCCCTTTCCCAGCACCTACTCACTGGTTCAGGCAGGGCGTGTAGGAGTTCTTGTCCTCCTCGATAATGGAGACTATCAGGGTGATGAGCTTGGACCAGAAGTCCAGGTTTTTGATGCTGGGGCCCTGCTCCTCAGGGGGCACCTCGCCTTTCTTAGTCTGGAGTGATGGGGACACAGCAGAGGCTCCGGTCACCCGACCCGCGGGGCTCGATTTCATGGCGGGGCTAATGAGGAGGCAGGAGGGCTCTGGGAACACCCTGGAGGCCCCCACGCAGTCCCCGCCTTGTCTGACCCTGGTCTCAACCCCACAGCAGTGAGGCTCAAACCCTGCCCAAGGCTTGGGGCTCATTCTGCATGGAGCTGAGCGCTCTGGAGAGGGAGCAGGAGCATTGCATGAAGGAGAAGGGCAGGGGATGGGGAAGGTCAGCGGGGGGCAGAGAGGTCCTCCCACAGCGCCCGGCATCCCAGCGCATCCCAGCTCCCCCCGCCCCACACACCGGGTCCGTCTGGTACTCGCGACTGTACAGCTCGTGACAGTTGTTGAAGATGTACTCGTAGGTGGAGTTGAGGCAGGCTTTCACGCAGTCCTTCACCACCTGGCTGGCTCGTGGTGGGCTCTGCAGCTCCTGGACCTGGGTGTGCGGGGAGGGAGCAGTGCTGGAGGCAGACCCGCAGCCCCGGCCAGCCATCCGGGAGCTACCACGGAGCCAGCACGACCCCAACCTTGCAAAGAACCTGGGCCAGCGAGGGTCAGGCTCCCCACCAGAGGGACGGGGCAAGTACCTTCATCCGAAAGAAGGTGATGCTGGTCAGCAAATCCACCGTGGACTTGAGATCCTGCAGCCGTTCAGGACTGCTGGCAGGGAAGTTGTTCTGCCAAAGGGGAAGAAAAGAGTGGAGTTGCACACAAAACTCTCACAGGGGCAAGTGGAGGGGGAGAAAACAGCTCCCTGTTGTTTCAGACCTTATTAGACAGGTGGGGAAACTGAGGCACAGCAGGCACCTTACCCGGTACATGGAGAGGTCAATCCGCAGCGAGTTGTGCAGCTGGTCGAGGAGTTTGACGAACCGCTCCTTCTGCGGAGAAACGCCCCAGAGCCAGGTAAACGGGGGAAAGGAGGCAGGGACCGTCCCCCCCTCCCCGCTGCCCCTGGCTCTCTCTGCCCCCAGCCCGGCCCACACCGCCCCCAGCTCATGCCTCTCCTTCCTGCTGTCCTGCTGTCCTTCCTTCCCTCCTTCCTTCATCAGAGCCCTGCCGGCGGGCACGGGATGCCCGCAGAGAAGAGCACGTCCTCGCTGGTGGCCGGGGCTCACCCGCAGCCATCAACAACTCACGGGGCACACGTGGCCGTGCCGGGTGCAGTACAGGATCAAGAGGCAACACCGCGCATCCCCTTTGCTCTCGCTGGCAGTCGGTGCCAGAGGGGGGGAAGGGCTGCTCTATCTGCCCTGCCCACTTGAACACCTCCGAGCCTGGGCTCGGGGCAGGAGCAGGGAGAGGGTGTCCAGAATCGTGCCCCTGGGCCGCGTGGCCCCTGGATTGAAGCTTTCAAAGAGCTCAGGAAAAAAGGGCAGGGAAAGAGCAACTGGGCTCTTGCAGCGGCCACCCATCTTCAGGGACGAGCTGCTTCGAGGCAAGGCCAGGATGGCCCCCAAGAGTCGGACGCCTCCATGGGCTCCTCGCTTGCCCGATCGGGCTGCCTCAAGGGATGTGGGCAGGGAACCGCCCCAGGTAGACGGTCTCCACTGGGGCTGAGTAGCTTTAATTCAGCTCAGCCCAGCTCCCGTCCAGGGACCGTGGGGCAGGAGGATGCAAATCTCACATTGGGCTGTGGATCGGACGTCAGAGCTGAGGGTAAGGCAACCAGTCTGCCCCAAAACGCTGTCAGGAGGCATTTCACTTTGCATCTCTGCTGGAGGGGGGCTTTGGACAACCCTGTGGGCCTCCCATGAGAGCCCTGGGTTCCCCCCCCAGCACCGGCTGTACTGGGTCAGGGCTGCCCCGCAGGGCTCCGGAGAGCCCCGAGCAGCTCCCCAAGTGCTGGGGGGGGGAGGACAAGGGGACAGGACGGGGCAGCAAGTCCCACGCCCGCCTGGCCGCAGCTCAGCCAAGCCCGCAGCCTGCGCTGGCGACCGCAAACCTTCGGCGCGCTCGCCCGCCGGAGACGGCAAAGCCAGGCTCTGGGCCAAGACCGTGCGTCCCCGCCACCGAACGGCTGCAGCGCTTTAAAACTGGACACGACGGGTACTCGGGGTTAAAGCGGCACAGCCGGGCACTTTAGGACCCAACCTTAGGCTCTCTAAAAAAAGAGAAAGAAACAAGTTTTTAAAACCCTCCATGTTAGAGAAAAGGCGCTTTTTTTTCATACGGTTTCCTCCTCCTGCGTGACCCGGAGGCACAGCTCGCTCGGCTCTAGCTACCCCCTGCAACGGGAACTGGGAAGAGTGAGCCAAAGCTGCCGTTGCCCGGAACTGTGCTCGGCCCTGGCTGCGGCCCTGGCTACCCAGCACTTTGCCTGACCCAGGGCTGGGCGCTGATCCTGGCTCGACCCGTGTGCATCCAGAGCAACCACCTGCTGCCGCTGGGACGACACAGGGGGAGCCGGGGCGAGAGCTCAGCCCCTCCTCACCCGCGTCAAGGGCGCACCCGGCCCCGGCACAAACTCACCCCACTCGCTGCAAGCGAGGCACCCAGCGGGCACGCGTGGGTGCTGGCACAGCCAGGAGAGTTTGCAGCGGTCCTGGGGCGCGCCCAAAGCGCACAGGGCCATGCAAAACTCCCGGCGAGCTGCAGGGATGGATCCTTGCCACCTGCTTGTGATTTTGCCACCAAGGTTTCCCCCTCCTGCTACACTGCAGCCCAGTATCCCAGCCCGCTCAGACTCCAGTCACTGTTTTACCATAATAATTTGGGGAGCAAATTTAGACCTTCTCCCAGGAAGGAGGTGGCTCTTTTCCTTCCTGAAAAATGGGAGCGGGATGAATTTTGGGGCAAGCAGGGGCTGACCCCCCCTGCTGCCCGGCTGCAGTTTGGAGCGGGGTGTTTTGCATGGCCCTTTTTGCTCCCCGAGCCCCCCACCCCCTCCCAAGAGAAGAGAGAGAAGAAGGAAGGAGTGTTTACGCACCATCGGACTTACCCCGAAATTGGAAGCGGCAAAGCGGTCAGAGGCCGAGACATTGGTGGAAGCCGTCGTGTGGGCATAGTAGGCGTTGATGTTGGCTAGCAGGGTACTCATCACCGCTGGCACCCCAGGGCACATGTATTTGGAGGAAAGGCAGGCAAAATGCCTGCAGAGGGAGGAGGAAGGTGAGGGTGCGGGGCCACGGGAGGGGCTGCCTGTAGGAAGGGGCGTGGGGTTTGGGGTGCACGCACGGAGAAGGGGAGGGAGGGGTGCACGGGTGCGGGACAAGCTAGGGGAGCATGTCTGTACCCGTGGCGGGAGGTGTGTGCAAACGGCAGCAGGGGAGGAAGATGCCAACAATCCCCCCCACCCAGGGCTGGCGCAGCCACTCACGTCATGGCCTGGTAGATGGACTCCACCCCATAGCGCATGGCAAACTCGTCCACGATCTCCTGCGCCGTCTCATCGAAGTACACTTTCCAGGCGTCGTCCCCCTTGGCGTCGGGGATCTTCACCACCCCGTTGTTTTGCAAATCCGTCACAAAGTGGAACAGGTTCTGGAGGTACAAATGAGTCCCGTCGGGTCCACAGAGCCGGTGGTGGCACGGTGGCATCACTGGGGTGGGGGCCATGCCCCCTGCGCCTGCCTGGGCTGCTCACCTCGTGCAGGCAGGTGTACTGTACGTGGTAGGGAGCCACCTTCTCCTCGCCTTTGATCTCCACGCTGATGTGCAGCCGGATGGCTCCCGACACAGCCGACTTGTCTGTCGTGGCATGGCACGGTGGCATCACTGGGGGCCATGCCGGGGGCCATGCCCCCTGCGCCTGCCTGGGCTGCTCACCTCGTGCAGGCAGGTGTACTGTACGTGGTAGGGAGCCACCTTCTCCTCGCCTTTGATCTCCACGCTGATGTGCAGCCGGATGGCTCCCGACACAGCCGACTTGTCTGTCCGCTTGTCTGCGGGGGTACAGGGGGGGGGGACGAGACATGAGACTTCCCCAGAGCAACTCTGCTCACTCCTGGCGCCGAAGAGGGGCAGACGGCTCCGACACGGAGGGGCTCTTGGGGCCAGGGCCAGGGGGACACCCAGCACTGAGTGCAGCCAGGACAGGGTACGATGCAACCAAGGTATTGCAGAGAGGGATTTGGCCATATCTCCAGACACTACAGTGGCCTCTCTGTGCCTCAGTTTCCCCTCTGCAGAGAGCCAGTGCTCCAGACCTCCTGGGCAAAGGGGTTTGAGAATGACCCTGGGAAAACACTTGATCCCAATGGCTTTCGATATTAAGTGTTTTTAACAGCAGACCCTATACTAATATGCTGAAACAGCCTTCACGCCAAGGCTGGCAGCACATCCCCCCCGGGAGCGCAGGGCCGGGGGTCCCAGCCCAAGCAGGCCGTGCCGGGGCAGCCAGTTACCGAGGTTGTACCAGACGTCCATCTCCCCGCTCAGGGTCCGGACCTCAATGATTGTCTGGCCCAGGAAGTCGTCGGACTCCCTCTTGAAGCGCTGCTTGACACGGGACTTAATGTCGTCATCTTCATCCCAGACGCGGACCTTGATGCGGTCGGAGGAGTTATGGCACTCGCTGGGGAGGCAAGAAGGGGCAAGCCCCAGGATGAGCAGGGAAACCTTTCCAGCCTCTCCACAGCCTCTGTTTCCCTAAACAAGGGTGACCATCCCAGCACCGGGCAGGAACTGGGGAAGAGAGCGGATAAGGGGGCACCAACCCTCCCCGGTGGGCTCGGTAGGGCTCTGCATCATGCCCAGGCAGCCCCAACACAGCCTGGATCAGCCCCCAGGAAACCAAACCCTCCATGGCACAAAACCAGCACTCCCAGTGACCCCAGCGGCCCCCCTCCACCCTCAACTGGGGCACCACCCCGCAGGGACGCGCTGATAGCCAGCACAGCTCAGCATGACCACGAGTGGCCAGGAAGTGGGACGGAGGAGCCAGGGGTGAACTTACAAATGGAAATTCTCCTCCCAGACAGGGTTGAGATTGCCGTAGATAGTTTTAGTCCTTTTTTTTGTCTTTCCAACCTGGACAGTGACATACGGGTCACTGGAACCCGTCTTATCCTTTGCTTGCAGGCCCTGGGCACAAACAACTGCGGCACAGCACAGCACGCACGCCCATTCACACGAGGCACATGTGTGGCACACACAGCGGAGAGAACAGAGAGAGAGAGTGGTCAGTGCCACAGCCACAGCCGAGACCCCCGCAACAGGCACCTTGTGTCCC